TTAGACTCTCGATAACGTTTCCCGAGAGACTTCAAGTCGGAGCATACACCGTCAATAACAACCTTAATGCTTCTGCCTGCTAGGAAACCGGTGACTCAGTTACTTAATTTGCTTTGTGAGAAGCGCCTTATGTCACACCCAATCGAAGGCCTTCGCTATGTTCAAGCTTACCGCACAAGCCTCTTTCTTAGTTTCGATCGCCTGTGCCCACCGGTGTGTTAGATAGACGAGAAGATCACCAGCTGAGCGACCTCGGCGAAAACCAAATTATCGGTCATTGAGTAGCTGGTGATTTTTTAAGTACCGGAGGAGCTGGCAGTTGATTACGGACTCCATAATCTTGGAGAACAAGGGGGTTATGGTAGGCCTGTAGTTGGACGGATCAGAGCGGTCACCTTTTTTAGGGATCGGGTGCACAAACGCTACCTTCCAGGAGTTTGGAACGATAGCTAGGGAGTAGGAGAGTCAAAAAGGGTGCGTTAAAACTGGTGCCAACACTGGAGACACGTCTTTAACACAATAGGAGAGATTCCATCGGGCCCACTCGACTTATGGATATCGAGGGAAAAGAGTGTTTTACGCACTAATTTCTGGGTGAACCGGATTTCCGTCATACAGCTCTGGCACCACGGTATGGTCCGTGGTACTTTTCCCTCGTCATCCAAAGTCGAGTTGAATGCACAGAGTTCACCTAGATATCCATATCCGTATTCAGAGTTCAACAGATTTTGACGTTGTGAGCATCCCACCCACGGCTAGGGTGAATTGATACCCTTACCCGATGACCTTCATTGATACCCTTAAAAAAAGTATCGATACTTTAAGTACCAAAGAATCGAGACCAAAGAAATATTACTTTCGACCAAATTATTATTAATTATGTTTTTTTCAAAAGTAGCGAATGTTATAAATGTATCGGTTTATAATTATTTCCCAATTCTTTTTCTTTTTGGTTATTTTTAAAATATTGAATTAAGTTTCATATATTTATGAAAAATTAACATTTATTAATGAGTGTTCAATATCAACACTTAAGGCTTGAAAATAATTAAACAAATTATTAATTTTAAACTATTGGTAGGATATACATTTTTTCGAGATATGGAATTATCGCATTCCAACTATTATTTAATCATATTTTTTTATAATTATGTTGAAAATAATTTAAAAAATCCTAAAGAGTACAACAATTATGAATAATTTAATATCTTTTACTAGTTTATTAAAACTATCAGTTTTTATAAGCTTTGCTTTTAAAAACATTTGTTTCGAAGGTAATGTTGTTCCTAAAATACTTTAATTTTTGAAAACTATGACGTATTAGATACGTGATGATGTGATCATTTAGATATAAGATGTTGAGTGTTAAAGCATATACATAAGTAACTTAAGAGAACCGTTCGTAGAATCCGAACTCATCTCTCGTAGTGAGTTTGTAGGGGTGAGTTTAAAGTTCACCCATTTCGAACTTCGACTCCAGATATTTGCGAGTTATTTAAAATTCGTATTTGATAATTTAAAGTTACAAACTGCCACATACTCCAGGTAGTGAGTACCTTTCTTTTTCGATTTTAACTTTTCATAGTGGAGCTCTTGCCGCCCACCTGCCGCTCAATCGGCACGATGCCCGGGGCATGCACCCATAGGCCGCCCCCCCCCCCTTCGTCACGCCGCTGTGTCTATTTGTTGTCGACGGGTGATCCACGGGTGGACGCCGCGTTGTCGGACCAGAAAACGAAACGTCAGACACGTTCGAAGGAGAGCGCTGTGCCGCCTATGCATCTGAAGTCCTCACTCGTGAACCACTTGAGGACAGCGCGCTGTCACCGAGTGACCAACTCGCCGTCCGCGCGTGGCCAAGCCGTGGGAGAGGCGCGCCAGAGTTGATGTAGAGAGCGTATACTCATAGTACTCCATACAAAGAATACTAACTGATCGGCGGTGGCGGCGAGGCGAGGCGGTGCTGGTCGGCTGTCGAGTGGCTCTCATGAGACCTTTTAACACAGTCGAGTAATACTCACATACCAAACGGTATCGAAATATTCAGATTAATTATTCTTAAAGAAGACCACCTTTACGATAAAGATAAGGGCTATTTTCCACCAAAGCGGGGAAGAAACAAGATGTGCGGAGACGAGCGGCATAGCGAGCAGGTTATTTACACCAAAGCGGAGCAGATCGGAATATGCAGAGAGGAGTGTTGTAACTTGCAAAAACGGGGTGAGAAGAGATGAGCGGAGATGTGAGCGGTAGGTACAGACCGGTTTTTGTGTGGAAGAGGATAGTTTTGCATCTCCGCGCAAGAAGAGGCCTTCTAGTCCCCGCTCGGCTCCATCTCGATAGTGCCACGTATTTTCTATGGCAACACCACTCATATCTTCTCGGTTCTGGTCATCTGTTTCCACTGAAGCTGAGCGGAAATTATACGTATAAATCGAAATTCTATTAGTTGCTTACAACACATCTCATTTCTCGTTTCGGCTCCGCTTCGGTGTAAAGCGTGCGTAAAAGACAAGTGCCTACTTTGGCACAAATAGAACGGCTCGACTGGCGTCGGCGTGATCCCACAGCGTGATAGCACAGAAAACCGGTGTTAAACAATTCTTTCGAGGGGTTTGGTCATTAAATATTTAAATGATTTTAAGAAGTTACTCTTTTGTACTGGTACTATTTTGCGAGGTATTAAAAAAACACATTTAGTATATACATTACAAAATAATATATTTATAGTAATGAAGTGACATCATCGAAGGTTGGGTACTTAGTAACAATAACGTAACATGTAATTATAACTGCAAGGAACCATCACAATGGCACTTTTGTTTTCTTTCTATGAAAATAACGTATTACATGTGCAATCATAAAATAGTAAAATAATCAATATAATTTTAATTTCAGTTAAGTGCATTCTAATATTATTATTTTTGACGAGGTATTTTCACATCGTTTGGGGATCGATTTACAAACAAAAAACTTTTAGACTAGCATTAAACAGGAAATAGCAGTACAATTAGGAGACATTTGATATTTATAATCAATGTTACAGTATCATAAATGCAGCATATCGAGGTTTCATAAATTAGTAAACTCGGAAGTAGCATTAAAACTTTCTACACATAAGTTATATAAATACTGCGCCGTGTGTTCAGAACTTTTTACACAATTTAATACATTCAACGTGTAGTACGAAAAGCTAACTTATCCTATACATTACCCACAATTATGGAACATTAACAAACGAATATATAACAAGTAGTAATATGTGACATCCAGTGTGCTATTTGTATTAACACTTATAATACCAATTAAAATAGAACATAAATTGATATTCTGGTTGAGTTTTCATAAATAATAACAATGAAAGTAAAAATAACTATTTTTAAATGCAAACATAAGATTTCAGTTAAATAATGAACACAAGTTTGTAGTAGGTATTGATGACATACTACCGTATCTCACAAAACAACCAATCCTACCGCGGACAGTGGACGAGGTATCTGGACCGCTATAGTTTTAGTTGCATCAGAAAAATTAAATCCGAATAGCATGTTTGGAACTAAGACACGTCGTTGTTTAGGTGGGATGTATGAAAAGGTACACTATAGATAATAAACTATTGAAATCAGTGGGAATGGTGCATTATTCAGTCATCAAGGATAACTATTGTAATTATGAGTCTAGGGTAAACTAAATTGTATTGCACTATATTATTATTATAAGGCAAATCCTGTCGGTTTCGAGTGCTCATAAAAATTAATAAGAACAATAAAAATAATGTTAGAGACAAAAAGAAAAAAAAGTCGTTTACAATAACATTTAAATACCTATATACTTACTTATTATTGGAAGTGCCTTGATTTTGTCAATTCGCGAAATTAGGGACTGAAGAGACTTATACGATAGACACCTTTAAAGAAAAGAAAATAACTAAGCTTTAGGCACGAAATAACATTATTCATATTGTCCGTCCGGTAAAAATGCAGTAACTCTTATGATAAATAAATTTTTAATCATAAATTTATGTACATACTATATTAGATTTTAAATATTAGCGGTTTTAAATAGTTATAACTGCCATTTTTTTTAATACCAGCTAGATAGAAGCTACTGTGTACAACTTATACCATAGGACTCTCAATAACAGCTCTATACATAGAACATTATCAATGTCGAAGTGCTAATATTCTTATCACACTAGTGCCTGTAAATATAATAACTGTAACATATAACATCAAAATAATAAACAAACATAGCTAACTTATTACCAAAACCAAATTATAAACAAACAATCCTATTTTATAATATAAGGTTGAGAATTGTGGAAAATAGAGGAACATGCATTAACAATAATCATAATATATGAAGTGTTATACATTACACAGTCGTAATATCATAATACAACATACCAACGAAACGGTTTTATGCACCGTAAAAGTTTTACAATAAAGTCGTCTAGTAACCTAGAGCGGGAAATAAGATATACTTTACCGAGGATAGTCACGTGGATACTTAGCCTTAGTCGCATTAAACTTAAAGCCAAAGTAATAAATATTTATAAACTAAAATCGCTATATTAAAAAAAACTAAGGAGCAACGCATTTCAAGTCTTGAATTGAATGGAATCCACAGATTACATAATATAATTATTTTAACTGAAAACCAAAGGAAACAAAGCTGTAGGATAAATACATTTACCATCGTATATACAGAACAGTTCTCGACAGTGACAGACAGTTTAGTTTCAAAACAAAAACGTGAAAAACAACAACAAGGGCAGTATGTCTTAACTTCATGAAACTATACTCGATAACGGAGCACTCCTAAATCTGTGTTTTTGTGTCTTTTCTAAACGAACAAACCATTACTCGAAGATTTATTATAAATGAGTTTAGAGGTTTTGAGTTTTTGATCAGACTCGAATTTTAATTCATCCAATGTATTCACGATTACCATGGAAAGCTTACATACATATTTTGTATGATCTATTTAATATTTAAATACTACGGGCGTATAGGCGAGGCAAAGTTAGACGTTGGCGAGGCGACAGTTCCGTGTCGCTTGAGCACGGCAGCTGGCTCTAAAGAGAAACAATCAAAACATGTATCAAGAAATAGTTCCTGAATGAATCGTCTCGCACATAGCATATATGTGTCTCTTGACAGCAGAGCACAGACGTCGGAGTATACGCAAGGACTGCGAAATAAATCTGGGTGCCGCTGCTTTATTGAGAGTAGAACAGACCGCGTCTGAAATAAAACAAATATATTATAAACTTACGGTATCGACCATTTATTAGAGCACGTACCTACGCCAAAGAGTTTCTTTACATTCTTTTATTGTTTAAAATACTACACTTAGTTAAAAATTTAAAAGTTACCTGTTTTAAATGTATAGGGTTAGACATTAAGTGCACTTGGTGCAGTAGGTCAGCTGTATGTAGACTAGTTCCATAATCAGCAACAGATTTTTCATTTGTTGGACTACGAGGTTCAGACAAGCTTGCGATTGAACCATCCATTCCTGGTAAAACAACATTAATTAGCATTATTGCTTTTACAAAAGTTGATAGTAGTGGAGCAAACATTGGCCCTAAACTGATGGCCAACTGGGTTAAAATCAGAATTGTAAGCAGAAACAGTTTTGCATATTTCTTACCAGCAAAAAACGCTTCACGTAATTCATGCGAAGAAGGTGGGCGGGTTCGTACACAAGCCAAACAATCGGCGGTCGCATGACGCCACTTTTTATTGGCGGACGCTGATGCAGAACTAGCGATATTTTCAGAAAGAGGAGCTATCGCACTTTGTGAATTTTCATTTGCCTCGGTAACAAGTTCGTTTCCAGGACGGCTCGAATTCACGTCTTTTTCCCCATCGATACTAGTTAAAGTGTCATCTTTATTCTCCTTGTTGGTTGAATTTACGTTCTTTTCTAATAACTGTGTTGCAGTTTTCGTATAATCGTCTTCACTAACTGCAGCTATGACCCTTCTGGTTTTTTCTTTGGTTGCACGTCGATTCGTTTCACTAGGTTCTACGTTTGCAGTCACATACGTTTCGGCTTTTTCTGAATTGGGAGTTTTGGGTACGTGAACCGCAACAGTACTGATGTTAGCACTAGAATTAGCGTTCGTACTACATTGTAAAGTCCTAGTGAGAGCAAGGATGTTTTCTAAACCTGAAAGTGATCGAAAATTAGGTGTCTAGTTAAATTATTCGAGAACTAGCTAACTAATAGCTACAAAATCGTTAATATACCTTTATGGGACGGTAATTTCTGACTGTCGGGGGTAGCGCGAGATTTATTTTCAGTACTGGCACTACTGGTGTCTACGAGGAACGATGGCAGGCGACCGCGCTTCGTGAGTTCACTTTTATCGGTATCGTCGTCCTTCATTTCTTCGTCCCTATAAAATGAAATCCATTACGTAAGCGGGACTAACATTATAGGCTAGACGCGAGCGTGTAATACGCCTCTGTGTATGCAGGGATAAAGACGCGAGTGTAGGTATGTATGATTAGTGACCTGGGAAAGATTTCCGCGAGGTCTCGAGGCAGACAGATGCCCATGTAGGCAGGCGAGTGCGCGTGCGGCAGGTGCGCGGCGGGTGCGGCCGGCGACACGGCGGTGTGGCGGCGCGGCGCCGACACGGGCGGCGACACGCGCGTGCTCTCTCCCAGCGGCAGCGGCTTCCAGTCGTACTCCAGCATACTATACATTCAACGTTTGCCGATTATTAGCTTTTGGATCACTTATTTATCTGATCGATTGCTCTATACGAGTAAATATTTTTTTTATTGAAAACAGCATTTCGCTAAATGCTTCTTAATGTTTACACGGTAGGTACATACGAGTACGTAGTCTTTTTGTTCTGGTCCGAAATTAATGGAAAGAGTTTTATGAAACTAGGACAAAGTTAGGCTAATTTTATTTTAGAAAAAATAATATCCGCACAAACAAAAACAGAAAAAAACCTGCAAAATTGGTCGTCATTTTTTTAAATAAGATTTTGTTGCCGCCATGTGCAAGCCTTCCATACAAATCCTAAACAAATAAATTTTGTTGTAAAGATTAATATAAATTCTATTATATTGTTATATATTTATTTATCTGAAAGTTGAGGTTTTGTAGATATAAGGCAATTTTTTTGCACATAATGTCATCCCAGCGAACTGAATGAAACTGAACTGAATGAATTGCAAATGAATTATACTAGTTATTATCTTCAGAAAATTACCAAGTGCGAACTATTATTAATTTTAGCAGTGAAATAAATGTAATGATGCATTAAGTCGGCAATATGAATATGAAAACAAAGATAACGTAAACGTGCAAACAGTGATAGCAATTAGAGACGTGACGCCAGTGAAAGAAAAGGAATTGTCATTTTGGAAAAGAAAAATAATAATAATTGGAACTAGTGTACTGTAAAAAATAATATCCACAGAAATGTCTTTGACAATCAAAACCTTGAAATAACCTTTATTATCACCATTATATTTCAACCAATTGCAGTGTTATGTATAAAGTTTATAAAGTACCGACTAATAAACATGCTATTTTAAGGACTGGCAATAAATGCCATTTCGAACCATCGAGTTGATTTAAATCAAAACCAAAACTTATTATATCAAAATATTTTTGCAAACTTATAAAGAGCTAACAAAAGTAATTCATTTTTTTTTAATACCTTCAACTTTGTGGCTCCTTTGATGGATATTATGACGATGTAATTAATTGATGACTACACTGATTTGGAATACATTTTTGGGTGTGTATGAATGCTGGTGATGATACTACAGTTCTAAATTTTTTTATTTGTTTTTTTTTTAGGTTTGAAATTAATCCTGCAAGGTAGTGCAGTAAATGATCTAGAATTTTTTCTTCGACTTTTATTTTAATATATACATAATTGTCTAGTTAAAATTATTATCTAAATTATTGACATTTTAAAAGTTGACTGTATATTTTACCTTAGTTTTGCTCTCCTTTCTTTCGTAGTTTTGGATCTATCTCGTAATGAAGAAAATGGCCTTGTTCGCCTATTGGATTCAGTTAATAACCACCAGCTTAAATCGTCCATTTCTGAAGATCCTGTTGCTGCACTTTCTGATAAATGAGGTCTGAAAAATTAATTTAATACATTATGTGTAATTTAACTTAAATTACAAAAAAAAACACAATTCACAAAGTTTATTAAGTATTAGACATTATTATATTGAACATATTTAGAAATCGTAATAAATAAAAATCAAAATTTGTACTGCATTTGTGTGTGTAAATGTTTGTTGCCGATGGGATGGACACCACAAAACAGTACTGAATGAATGTTAGGAAAGTGAATAATCATTGTTTATAGTACTACTAGTGTCAGTTATTGCTTATAAGACAAACTTTTTTATGTACTGTGCCGCTTATATGGGTCGCAGTAGCCGCTAACCTTCTTGCTACAATTTTTTTCTACAATATACTGTCTATAGTAATTACCTATATAAATTTTATTACCGTCTATTAAGAGACTTCAATGTGGCATAACCGGTCATATCCATTTGCGATGGTGGTGAGCTTGCGACATCGGGACCTGTGAAACCTGTAAATTTTATAATTAATAAGACTTTAGGTCTAAGTTTCTATGGCGTACTACTACCACCCTAAACTAAGTAATAATAATAATAAGGCCCGTAAATACGGTAGGACTAGCTAGATAGCTGAGAAAAAGAAAATCAAAATAATAATAAACTTTATTTTTCAGTAAAAGTTATAACCAGAGTACATAGATAACTACTGTGACAATATATTTTTTGGTGACATAATCAACTGTAGTCGCCACCACGGTACGGCAGGGCCACTCTCTCGTGCTAAGAATAAACCTGTGTCACGAGAAGACAGCAAAAGAGGTAAAAATGAAGTCTAAATAGGAAACTAATTTTCATTTATTTGTTTTGATAAATATTTGACAAATCAGATTGTTTCTATTGTGTGTATTGATCTATAATTTTAGAGTAATTATGACTTCAAATAATTTTATTAAACAACTTAAATTTGTTACAGAAATATTTGAAATAATTCAATCATTTTTAGGAACTATTACAAGTCAGGAATTTTAAACCTTTGTTTTATTATTCTCTGAACAAACAACAAGTACCTACTGTGCAAGTCAATTATTAATGAATCGCCCTTACTTATAAATACAATTAATATACTTAAAATGAAACATTACACTATTTTGACAAATTGTAATTGTACAAAAAACTCACTAGATGTTGAAGTGCGACGTTGTAATTCTGATATCTTTGGACGGTGCGAGCTGTTGCAACTTTTCATACCGTACAAACTTGACGAGCTTGGTATTGGACTTAGCGTCAGAACTCTGTCTCTGTAAACGAAGCATTCACAGTCAGAAAATGAAACCAAAACAAATAATGTTATCCATGGGAGAGCCGGCACAAATGGGCTTGTTCAATCAGATTGATACCAAGTCCTTTCTTTTCGTTCTTTGTTGTGGAAAGTTCTGTCGTTGCCGCACTATTCCTCCCCTCGTTTCTGGGCTCAAAGAGTGGCAACACACTCGTGACTCTTGAGTAGCAAGTGTTCATGGGCGGAGATAGTCACTTATCATCAGGTGTCTCGTCTGCTCTTTTGCTCCGCTATACTATAAAAAGAATAGGTAAGAAACACTTACGGAATAGCGTATTTCCCAAGGAACGAATCACAACTACTGACTCCACTCGTACTAGATTCACTTGTGTTTCGTATTCTGCCTTCATGTGTATGTTCTATAGAGTTCATTCGGCCTATTATCAGTCTATTTTCGCCCATAGGCATTCGATGTGAGGGACGTTCATAGATAGAACAATCTTTGAGTATATCTACAGTTCTCGACTCCGTTAATGCGGGTCGGTCATGCGAGGTATAACAACTTTGGGATGGAAGTGTGTGAGATTTCCTCTTATCTGTTTCTCTACGTCCATCACCAGAGCCCTTATTGTCAGTAACATCCTGGTCTTTTATTTCCGATTGCTCTGCAGATACAAATCCCGTTTTGACTAAGTTTTTATCTGAATACAAGCTCTCTGCCACGCTCTGATCCGTATGGTCTGAATGTTCACTCATTTCTGTGTCGTAAACATTATAACGATTCTCAGATGAAGCAAAACAATAGTTCGTGCCTTGATCAAATGTTGAGTACGTTTCTTCGGGAATCACTGGAAATTGGTCGTGTCTTGTGTGTCTAACGCATAACCAACCTGTAGGAGGAAAGTAATACTAATTTTATGATTATTTAAAATTTAACTATCTAATCTAATTCTAAATATCTAAATCTAATTGAAAGATGAAGTTAAAAAAAACGTATTATGCATGTAGGTGCCGAGAAACTTCTTAATTCGAGCCTTTTTCTCCAAACTAGGTATGGGTCGGCTTTAAGTCTTCGACGATACTGCTGAATTCGTTTTTTTTACGCAGAGCAACTGCTATCAGACCTCCCACAGCTCAAGTACTAGGCGATATCGATTTTTTGTAGAAAGACTGTTGTCGGACTACAGATATATGGCTATATTTTCCATAAAACCATGGAGATATGTAGCTATTTCTATTTTGGAGCAAGATATACAATTCTTAATGTTTAAATTTAAATCTTTGAAACAAAGCAACATAAGCAATTTATACACAATAGTGGTTTTTTTTTTCAAACTTAATTTCAAAGTCACGTACAGTGAAATTAGTCTCGAGAAATTTTTGCATATGTAGTGGTGTGTATATTACTCAGATCTTAGAGCGCGTTTCCACTATATCGTTCTGGCCTATACAAAAATGTTTCGATATCCTAACATTACTATTTAATTTTATACTTATCCCTAGCAACACTCTGATTTTTGTTTTCAATAAAAACAAGTTTTTATTTTAAAGAAAAAGGTTTTGCCTTTATAAAATAAAAAGGTGTGTGTGCGATTCACACACGATAGAAGTGAAACTTCAAAGAGGAGAGACCGATATTTAAATTTTTTTTTTTCCTTTCATCTAGGTTTTTAAAACTCTACGGGGGTCTACGGGGGGGTCAAAATTTTTGTAATTTTTGGCCTAGGACGCACCGTTTCCGAGATATTTCAATCTAAAGCAAAAAATCGTCACTTGATAGTGGAAAGTGGAAACACGCACAAAACCAGAATAAACCAGTTTACGCTGTCCGCTACCATACACTACTACAAACGCAAAAATTTCTCCAAGCTAATTTACCTGTAGTTAGGGCCTTTAAAGTAGTGTTGCGGCTCTTCAAATTTACTTGAATACGTATAACCGGTATAATGTACAAAATTTAGAATTGATTAATAACGAGTAATTTTCTGTCCAGGCGTCTGACGTTGGACGTCAGGTGAATTTTCTCAACGCAAAACGCATAAATTAAATTAAAAGTATGTAAGTTAATGTAATTTTAAATAAATCTTTGTAGGCAAAAATAGCTCGTATCCAAGTCTAATGTATACTAAGATTTACTAGTAAAATATATGATGAACCATTACAAGGGCTTTTATAGTAACAAACATAAATCAGTAAAACTATAATCGATTGCATACTAAGTAATGATATCGAAATTTCTTAAGAATCAGATATTTTAGTAATCGATTTCTTTGACCCCATCGCTATACTTCAATTTTTCAGAACTGTCAAACGGTACCTCTTAGATTAAATGGACTATAGACAACTGATAAATACATACCTACATACTTTTTTTTTATAAATATATACATAAATATTATACATAGAAACACCCAGACTAAATCAAACATTAAATGTTTATGCACACAAATATTTGACTTGAGCGGGAATCGAACTCGCGACCTTTGGCATAGCAGTCCGTTACACAGACAACTATGCCATCCGGTCGTCTAATAATGATGTCCTATCTTTTATATTTTATGATGATTTGAGCAAGATGATGATGATTTTGATGACTTCAGCAAGCTGAAGGATCAGCAAGCTGAAGTGGCAGTGGGCTGGCCATATTAACCGCAGAACCGATAACCGTTGGGGAAAACGAGTTCTTGAGTGGAGACCGCGTCTCGGCAAACGTAGTGTAGGACGCCCACAGGCCAGGTGGAGTGACGATTTGCGCAAGATGGCTGGCAGGAGCTGGATGCGAGAAGCCCAAAATCGATCTAAGTGGCGTGCAATGGGAGAGGCCTATGTCCAGCAGTGGACTGCGATAGGCTGATGATGATGATGATGATTTGAGGATTATAAAATGAATAGAAACTTTATATTATAAGCTAGTTTTTGGAGTTGGAAATTATGCATACGAAACCATTTTATTGCTAATATTACAAATAGTATTTAAGAAATATATAAGCAAAGTTGTATCAAATTACCTAAATCAGACAGTAGATTGGCACCGTCGTACGTACTTCCGATCAGGCCGAGTACGTAAAAGGCTGTCGCACGGATAGAATACACCGCGTTGTACTTAGCCAAGCGCACAATGTGCACCAGAACCGAGTCTTCCAAATAACCGTTGCTCAGGCTCATCAATTGTTGGAGACCTTGCGAGGTGACAGCGGTGTTACCGACCGCCCATAGAGAAGCTTTTATGTCTGCGACTTCCTGCTCCGTAGCACATCTCTTACGCTGCAGGATCTATGAACATCTAGATGTTAGTACTGACGCTTAATGAATTGTACCTATTTGAAGTAAAATAAAGAGTACCTTATAATGATCGGGTAGCACGGCTTGCAGCAAGGCCCTCGCGCGATGCGCGTGCGGCGCGTGCGGGGGCGGCGCGCGCGGCGCCAGCGCGGCGTGCAGGTGCAGCGGCGGGCGCGCGGCGCGCCGCGTGCGGGGCGTCACGCGCCCGCCGCCCGCCTCGCTCACGGCCAGGGCTTCGTGCACGCCCGCCTCCAGCAGCCTAACGTACCTGTAATACGTCATTCATATCAGCTTTCTATTATCCGATATATTTAACACGAGTTCAGGTCGATAGGGGCATTTTTTATAAGCTTAAGAAATGGTTCCACGGTTCGGCGGTGGCCGAGGCGTAAAATATGCGCCGCACGTGTTGAGCGTTTGTATTACGGGCTGTTTCGATTGTGTTTTTCACTATTTCATTTCGCAAATATGCCGACATTAGGCTACTGATTATGTCATATAGAAAGGAAGTAAGACGTTCACGGGTTTTTATTGCAAGAATCGATTAATGGGTTTTAAATAAAGAAAAATCCGCGGAGTGCTATTAAAATAGAGGGTAAAAATTGAAGATGAAGTGAAAAACCACCACTTTTGGTTTTATCAATATATCTCGCAAACAAAGTAAAATTTTAATATCTATTTCATATGAAACTTTCGTAGAGAATCAAATATCCCATCGAAATAACATGGAAACACCGAAACAGTCGAAACAAACTTGAAAAAAATGTACAAATTTCGCTGTTTTGTTTGCACACTGGGGCACCCGCCCCGGGTAGCAGTTTCAGGAGGCACCAAAATCATAATATAATACGGTTTAAAAAAAAAAAAATGTTAAAAATCACGAAAAATGCCGACCATCATAATATATTGTCAGTTTTTTTAAGTTCCCTCAAACGCTGGAGAGAGGGGGCGCTATTATTAATTTTCTGCTCCGGTTCGACAATCTCACTCATCCAGTGAAAAACAATGAAAGAAAAGGTTCAGCACCGGTTTTCTGTGAGAGCTGACCCATTTGTTGCAAAGCATAGCTGTCAATCCTCTTAATCGAACATTACTTCGATTTGCAAGCGTAAATATTATAATTAGGGGTAAGCTCGAAACTTCACCAACAATAAGTATAGAAATTACAAAAGGTATGTTAACTTACCGGTAGTTGTATGATTTAGTCCAGAAATCCAAATGCTTTTTAAGAAAGGCGACGGACTTCGCATCGGCCGTTTGCACAGCGACGGCGGCCTCGAGGCTGAGCCACAGTAGATACCCTCTATCGATAACTGTGGCGAAATCTATCGCAGACGGCTCCATATTTTTATCGAGTCGACAATTCTGACAAAGCAACTCCTTTAATGGTATCATTTTTTCAACAAAATACTGCAAAAGAAAAAAGTATTATTGTTAATTTAAAAGCAAAGATTTGTAATAATTATTTCTTATTAGTATATTAAACCTATTTTGCAGTATTTAAGAGTGTGTGCAGTTTAATGTAGATCTTTGATTTAAAATCTTAAGGACCTTCATGACCGAGCTTTGCTATGTATTTTTTTTGGTAATTTTCTAAAATTGAAACCTAAATCCCCTGCATACTAAATTTCATGAAAATCGTTGGAGCCGTTGCCGAGATTCAGATTAAAAATATATATATATAAAAATTGCTCGTTTCAAGGTATTAGATAGATTAGATACAATTAATGCTATTTATTTATTACCGGCACATTGTGAGCTTCTTCCAAAACTGTAAGTGCAATTTTAACGACAGCCTTAGACTCGTCCTTTACTTGTCCGATCAACATCTGCAATATCCACGTGTCCATGTCTACGCCACTATTAACCTCGTTATTGTCTCTATGAGATGATCTTAAATGTTCATGCGTCTTCTTTAGTTTAGTTTTTCTTCGCACCAATTCACGAGATTTGCGCGAAGCTCGCAATAAAACGTTAAGGAACTGTGTAGCGTATAGCCTAGAGGCTTGAATGTTACATGTCAGCGTTTTGGCGAGGATATCACGCGGATAGGAATCCAATGTGTAGTCTAGACTTGATATAACCAATTTTACATAACAGCTGTGATGAGTTTTTGTTGACAGTTCTAAAAGACTGAAAATTTCACGTAATTTTTAATGAATGGAGTTATAAAAAAGTAAATAAAGATATATATTAAATAGGCCTGTAAAAAACAAAAACCTGTTAAGTTACTGAAAAAACTTGTGATTAGGTACATATTAAACTATAGCAACCAATAGGAGCTGGTACACCATAAATATTGTAAACTACAGTTATTGTGATAGTTGATAGTGTTTTTAAATGTCTTACTAAATTAAATCATAATAGTATGTTCTACTATTTTTTAATGTTAATTATGTTAATGGTAATTAATTTAAGAAAAATTAAGTCGAGAATTAGAAAAAGTTTGCGCATACATATTTTAAGTACTTATTTGTATGTAACATGTTTAAAATTTCATAAGAAAAATCACAATGATACAGACTTCTGGTTTTCCATTTCCAAATCTTGTCGTGCTTAATTTGATTTCCTTTAAATGTGAGTATAATTAAATTTATTACTTACTTTTCATAAAGTCCAGTTTGCTTTAATAATCTCAAGCCGTTATGCGAATGGCACAATTGTCCTATAAACAAGAAGTACATTTGACACATGGTGTTACACATGTGTTGTGGCGAGAACAGGCACTCGTGGGCCTTCAGCCCTGTTTCTATAGCCTCTATTTGCCGGCTCACATCCGAGAATAAGTCTTCCAGCAGTCTTTGACACTCAAACTGTAAACAAATATATACTATTAGTTAGAAGAACATAGTTTTTATTACCTATACTATATATTAACAAAAGTTACGTTATGCTTACATCATTATGTCTCAAGAGATGTCTGATAACTTGGCAACCGGCGCGTGTCGCTGAGTGGCCATGCCCTGTACTAGATAAATCTGTATGTGAATACTTGTTCGAAGACGGCTTCAAGTAATTTATTATACGAGTAACCCACGCCTTATGACCGCTGTCATTTAAATTTAACAATGGAGTATCATTTTCCTGAAAATAAATCACATTGAAAGCATTTCCATATTTGTGTGCACATGACTTATATTGTGAACAAACATGTACCTTTAAAATAGTCCTTATAACCTCCCAATCCCATGTATTGCCATCTTTATTTTGCATTACTAAAGTACATCTAATTAAACTGTCGCTGTCACGTTCGAACAAATTAAAAAACTTTGCTGACTTAGTAACTTTACTCACTGCAGCACTAGTCCGTGAACTAACACTTTTACTCTTCACTAGAGCGCCCATATTTCTGCTCGTTACGTCAGCTCGAGAACCAACGCTATGCCTTTGTTTTGGTTCATTTTCATTATCAGAATCATTTAAAAATTCAATACTATTTTCTCTTTGTAGTGACACATCATGTTTAGGCTTAACCATACTAGCGTTGTCTTTTTCTTTACGACTTTTACTAGTGTCTTCCATTTTCTCCTTAAATGCACCACTACAATACTGTATAATGTGGTCTAGGAACAAACTGCTACTCGCCGGTCGCGCTTCCAGCATAGAGTGTAGTCTCCGCAAGGCAGCGACAGCGGCAAGCGCTTGTGGCTTGCCGGCCGAGGCCTGGGACATGAGAGTTGGAAGTGCCGGTGTTATACTACATATTTGAGGAGGTAGATATAGGTGTATTAAATGCAAAAGTTGACCCAATAAAACAGTCGCTCGGACCGATATAAAAGTATCACTTGTAACAACCACTTCAGCTAAGCCATCCAGTAAACCAGCCTGAAAATAATATTTGTTTTGTTAAAAATAATTTGCAGTTGCTCTCATAACAAAATAACCGTAAGTTTTTGTGTACATAAAGTACAAAACTATCCATCAAAAATATTTGCAGCAAAAATAATATAAGTAAATATGCTGTTTAGAGCTTTACTTACAGATAAAAGTGCTTTAAAAAGAATATTAGTTTATTTCATAACATTTACATATTAATAATATTATTTATTAATTTATGGCTACTAATAAATTACCTCTAAGAAACACTGAAGTAAAAGTGCTAGATGAATCTCAATTATATCAGGGCCAGTAGCACCAAGATGAGGTAATATGGCAGTGCCTTCTGTGGCAACAAAACCTTCATTCAGTCGCCAGGAATCCTAAAGTAAAAAAAGAATTAAGTTTTGTTTAAATCAAAACTTTCTGCATATTATGCAACATATAACCAGGTGTAGCATTCAATGTATTCAAATTAATTTTACCATATCCAAATATGATTTCAAAATAATGTGTAACCTAAAAAGAAACAATTTCAGAAATGACAACTAGAGGCATCGGAATCAAAGCACTTACTTGAAAGTCAGATGGATCAACTGCGTCTAAAGCTACAGAAATCTCATCTGTCCATTCTGGTTGAGGTAATCCAACTAGCTCGTACAAAAGGTCCAATATTGCTTTCTGGAAATATCAAACAAATGTAAAATGGTGAAACAAAACACGAGTAAAGAGATAGTTGCAAGAAAAAGGTGTTTACTCACTCGAACCTCTAATCGCGGTAAATGTAGGGCGGCTACTAAAGCTTTTAGGCCGCCCGTACTAGAGGGGTGACAAAAGTGTAATAAGCCAGGCCAACTGCGCAGCACGCACAGCAGAGCTAAGCGGCTACATGTGAACCGCATCTCACGTTCATCCCTGGACAAGTGAAGTGATTAAAACAGACATCGACATATTAAACTTGGTCAAGTTAATAATTAACTCTTTGAATAATAAAATGCAAGGTTTTTTGAAAAGTAACACAAGAAAATTATATTAATCTTAGTAATTTATTGCTAATTAAGTGATGGTTTTTGGATTTATATCCAATAAAGTATAAAAAAACAAAGTATTTTGTCTGAGTCATCGTCGTTCTGGTTTCAGCGAATATATAATAGTAATACATATTGTAAATAGGTTTCTGTCTGAACGCGATAAATACCAAAAGTACCGCACCGGCTTTCAAAAGGGTTTTAATACTGACTAGAATGCTTTTAAAAAAAAAAGGCTATAAGTGTATAATTTGTTGAGGTTTTATAAATAAAACTACAATATGACGTCGGATCGGCATATTTTGCTGTTTTGTTTTCCCGGCGTGTGACGTGCTAACCAATTGTTATATGAAAACAATATATTAGGCAATTAATTCTTTTAAAAAGATCTACTAATTATTAGAGGAAATAAAATGTAGGCGTATAATTGCTATGGGTCCAAGCTGAGACAGGTTTCTAATTACTATTATAGTATTCATATTCAAAATAAAGTCTTATCTGTCAAGAGAACTATTGCATGATTATTTTTATGATAACAATAGACATACCTGCTGGTTTCAGTACCAGCTGGACGGAAATGGAAATCACAATAAGGCGAACTGAGGCACATCAAGTCGATGCGCGCGGAGCGTCGTGACAACGGGTCGTTAAGCGCATGCAGCAGGACGCCACACAGTGCTTCAGCCATACGAGGAGTTGCACACTCCGCTAGCTGACGAGTCACTGCATTGACGCCACCGCATGATATGAACATGTCGGTGTTTAGGACGCCTAGACAAGAAAATATCACTTTATTATTGTCACTTGTTTTATTCATTTTTCAAAATACGTATTAATTTTAAAATAGTATACTTAAACGTCTGGCCTAGTGCACTTTTGAGACTTCAAATCAAATCTATCTAAAACAAAGTAAAGAGTCATATTGTAAAGTTATAGCCGACAAAGGTGTTGACTAGAAATAAGCTAAGCTATGACCCACATCAGAGTTACAATAAATCTGATGTGGGTCAGTTTGGCTACGAGGGATTATTCTGTTATTTGGGTACATCCTGAGGTTTGCACCACTATTTGTTTTTTTATCTTACACATCTCACACACAGCTGTCTGATCCCAAACTAGGCAGAGCCTGTGCTACGGTTACCAAACTGCTGACATAAAAGGTTTGTCCTAGTTGAGATTCGAGCCCACAACCTCCCACTTAGCAGTCAGCGTCACTAAACACTAGACCCACAGGCCCGTCATATCTATTATCACTATAACTTAAAATTTATATTGATGTAGATCTCAATTTTGTAGAGGTTTAAGCTTTTACAGTCATAAAAAAACTGATACATATTACACATTAAGGCCTTTATAAACATGTATTTTTGTTCAAATGCCTAAATATTACACATAGAAATTCATTTCATAAAATATTCATATAAAAAGTTCATACAAATCTCGGCTAGTGTTGCAATGGCTGGTCGCGAAAGTCTGTCTCCAGTACCATCTCCAGCACAAGCGGCTCTCGCTACAGCGGCTAAACATCGCAGTAGACCATGGTCTACATACGCGGCTCGGTGACGTCGCATCGGTTCACCTGCTGCACCTACCACAGCCACTACGCGGCGTACGACGCGTAAGGCCTGAGCTCGTTCTTCTTCATTGCGTAGCATCAAATCCATTGATCTGCACATATTAATGAGAGAACATTTGTTTATAATACATTCAAGTAAGACATCATTCTATGACAATGTGGTTGCATGTTCGAACGAAAATGTAAACCTACTCATGACACAATTATTTAACTTAGCTGGAGGGATTAACCCACATTGCTTATTGCCTTTGGAAAACCCCATCTAATATATTTAAATGGGAAATAATCATGGTATCTCATGATAATGATGGACTGTAGGGCAGTAGTTAGGCACTGATTATTTATTTATGTTTTAAAACATGGTACCTGTATTTTTCACAACCAAATGCTTTAACTGAAACATAAAATAAACAAACAATGCAATGCAATTCTAGAGTTAAAAAACAATTGCCCTTTTAACTTCAGGTAAGACATAGTCATAGCACTTAAAATCCATATCAGTTTGTAGTAAGCCAACCTCAGTTGCAAAGCCAATTATGAAGTTAGTTATCGAATACTCTGCCGCCTATATAAAGTGAAACAATTTGTCATAAAAAGATCCTGATTTACTATGCATAAGGGTTTTCTTGTAATCTGAATTAGAAATTGCTTCCAGCACCGTAAGTCGATCTAAATACTTGATGCAAGATTAAAGCAATGTATGGGAAAGTTCTTGAAACTAAATGAAGTGGACAGACAATGTTTTTTACAATTTAAAAAAAGTACATCTTGTGGGAAGTCCTTTGTCAACATCATCATCAACAGCCTTTGATAGTCCTCTTCTGGACATAGGCCTCTCCTTAGAAAGGAGGTTTTAGCCTACTATTACCATTAAATACAATAAAACATGTAGAACAATGCAGAAATGAGAGTGGTAATTTTTCTTGCTAAGCTAACTACACATTCTGTACTGTTACAAGTATTATTAATTTTATTTTAAATGAAAACAAACAAACCAGTAATTAAATCTATCTTGGCATATGGTTTTGAATTGTGGCACTCAATAAAGAACTTGAAAGTGGAAATCCAATATAAATGCTGAAATGAAGATATAGAAAGTAATAGTGTATAATGTACCCTTGGTACTTTTTACACAATAAAGATATAATTATGTTACTAAAATACTCTTCACTTAACGTTTAAGTAAATTTTACTTCAATTGATGATGACCAATTGTATGTACATAAAATCTTTAGTCATTGATTTCAGTGACACTAAAGGTGAATAAACTGACAAGCAAAACTAGATACTGTAATGACACAATTGTACTGAAAAGAAAAAAATGTGATGTATTTTATTTATCTTTATAAAATGTTACCTTATAACTAAGTACGGTAACTTTAAGTTGTTAAAAGTTGCCACATCACTTTCTGTCTTGATCAGATACCGCAGAACTCTGAGAGCTGATGCCCTGATTACCATAGACTCATCCACAAGATTCACCCTAATACTGAAAAAGAATATACAATATAAACATAATGTAGTAACTTACTATGGCAACATTCACATTAAAAGCGTTAATGTATCATTGTGTTATTCTTACCAGGTCATTAATTCATCAGGTGTAAATCCCAAATTAATTCTATCTTCTTTACATAAGAGTGTGACAAATGCATTTAAGTAGGACAGTCTACGACTATCAGAGCTATTTTTCTGCATGCCTCTTAATCCTAATTTAAAATCCATAGGGTTATTTTTGTTGGTGGGAGAAGTATCATTGTGAATTGGCTTTTTAACGTATAAGCCTTGTATGATATCTTTGATGTTCTCTTCGGGTGTTTTATTCTTAGTGTCCAATTTATATAAATCATTCTGTTTACCTGCAATGTGCAATGCCTTTTTGTAGTTGGTGGAGTCCAATATAGGTTTGGGTAAACATTTTCTAATAAAAAGTGTTATTTCAAAATCAACATACATTATTATTCCAAAAAAATTAAGATGAATACATTGAAATGTAGCAAATATTTACCTTTCCTACGACTAAACCAATTTTCTTGCAAGGTAGCCATTATAACATTTTTTGCGTTACAGTTTGTAAAAGTAATGAGAGTTCATAAGTTTCCTCAACGTGTAAAGACATAAATACTTTCAGTAATTTCTACATTAATTAGACATAGGTCATAAAATTAACCGTAATTCAGTCGTGTTTTCTTCACGCACCAACATCACACATTTGACTTGACATAAACTTTGACAAATATTCTTGTCTTGATGTTGGTTTTTTTAAAGTTTACATTGTTGCTGGTTACTAAATAGTTGGACATCTTGGGAAATTCGAACCCCTTTTGCTCCTCCCAATATGAGTTTACATTTGTAACATGAATCTATAAATGCCCGTTTTACCAACATAATATTGACATCTAATCGTTTCAAAACATAAAACTAAAATAGATAATCTTTTTTTATTTTTTTTACGTGTGGAAGCCCCCTCGGGCCGTCACCCCACCGGGGTTTGCGGCGGGGTGGTGTGTCGGAATCGGTCCGACTAAAATCACAGGGTGTGCCACTCTGCGTCTATAATAGGAGAGATCTGGGAACCGCTATTCGGACCACCGCTATTCGGGTACATTCTCCATTTAGGCGACATCCGGCACACGCGGACGTCGCCTTCTCACGGCTGGCCGTTATGGCGGATGGAAGGGCAAATCCGTCCCGTCCACCCGCGGCCACACTCAAGGCGGCATGAGGCGATAGTGAGCGCGCCTTCGCCACCCGGTTCGCCGACGACGAAATGAATCCGAGGAGAGGTTGTCCTCCCGGGCCCTCTCCGCCGCCTCCTTCCGCGAGATCACGTCTTCGCAGAAGGATGCGACCGCGGTAAAACACTACCGGCCATGGAGCGTATGACGGCCGGTAGCGAGAGATCTCCTCCGATGACTGCAATGAGGAGTCGGCGCTGCGGCGCCCAAGCCGGGCGAGTTGCCAGCGTGTGCTGAGCCGAGTCCTCCCACGACATGAGCCGACGCATCAAAGCACCACTATGGTCCTCGTACATGACGGTACGCTCCTCTAAGTAGTCTGCCACAAGCCGCCTCAGGTACTCCATGAGAGTGGAATGCTTCCCTGATGCAGCTAAATGGCAGACTGTTGAATGCGTTGGCGATGTCCAACGACACCGCCAACAGCACGCCGCCACGGCTCACCGCCTCTTCCTCCACGGTCCTGAGGCGCAACACAGCGTCGACTGTTGAACGCCCCGCTCGAAAACCGAATTTGGCGTCCGACTGATCGAGGTGGGCACCTCGCAGAGGTGCCGGACGACGCGGGCTGAGAGAATTCTCTCAAACAATTTACCTGCCTCGTCCAGCAACACGATGGGCCTGTAGGCCGCGACCGAATCAGCACGCCGTCCCGGCTTCTTCAATAGGACCAGCTTCCCGCTCTTCCAGCACTCAGGAAAACGTCCGCACGCCTAGCTAGCGTCGAACACCTCCCTGAGGCAGTCTGCCATGTGGTGGAGGGCTAGGGCGAGCACTCGGGCCGGTATCCCGTCCAGCCCAGGGGCGGTCTTCTTGGAACGGATCCGTAGAACAGCCGCCTTCGAATCCCTGATGGGTGGAACATCTACCACGTTCTCCCCGTCGTCACCGGCCAAGGAAGCCATCGACGGGGGTGTGTGTTCCGCACGTTGCGGGAATAGGCCCTTCACCACTTCCTGCAGGAAGCTGGGCAGGAGAGTTTCCGTAAGGGGGGCCCGACGCACGGAGCTTTTGTCGCACCGCGCGATAACGGTGACCCCAGGGGTCACGATCGAGACTCTCCAGCATCTCCTTTCGTTTAACTTCTTTGGCGCGGCTAATGGCCAGCTTCGGTCTCGGTACTCTTCATGAAGCCGGTCCATCTCACCGTCTTCACAGTGACGCCGCCGACTGCGGGTGTACGACCTCTGGGCACGAGTACAGGCCGCACGGAAGTCCGACGACTCCTGGGAAAAATAGATAATCTAAACCAAAGTGATGAGCTAAACAATTATTTATTCCTTTTTTCATTTCATTTATACCAGTTTTTTATATGAATCGTTATTTTTATAAGATTATTGGATTGTTTGAGACAAAGATAAAGAAATAGAAATGTTGTTAGGTAACATTTTTAGTTGTATACATTATGTAATTGTATAGTATGTATGGTACAGGTTGTATAAAAGAGTTTATTGAAAACCGAAATAGAAGATTAAGATAATTATTCTGTGTTTAAAATAGTGTTTTGTTATTTTTACTAAATGTGTTTTTATTAACTTAAAGGACCCATAGCTTATAACATCGGGCGCTGTAAGTTGAGAAGTGAGTTATTAAATCATTAGAAAGTCTTAATATTGAACGACAATAAAAATAGATATTTTACTTAAAAATATCTTTGAAGCATTATGATAAGTTGGTATTATTTTTAAATAAACGAAAGTGTAATTCTCTTTAAAACCAGTAAGACTTACAAAGGACTTATCAAATTAAATTACAATTTACTTTATAATTATTTTGTTGAACTTCATGATGGAAGCTTCCTTGTTTGCTTATTTTTACATTTCGTTCAAAATAAGAATTTCTGGTGATCGAGTTTGATTCTAAATTTATATTTAATCAAGAAAATTCTAGAAAAATAGACAATTTAAAAATTGGCAGCCCCACAAAACGACGCACTATTCCCTTTTCATTGTCTGTGGTGTCATAGTGAGGTGAAGAAGAGATTGATAATAGAATAAAATCGTAGCGAAAAGGCAAGCCCTAAGTATTATTCACAGGAAAAGTGAAGTGCACTCTTCGATATAAAAACGGATTACTCTCATCACTTTAGTTTTGGATAATGTTGGATCCAATTGATACTATCGACATGAAGTCGTGTCGTATATGCTTAACTAACAAAAAACCACTCTGTCCTCTATTCAGATACAAGTTGTCTGGTAATTATGCTGAAATGCTTACAGCTATTGCCGATGTTAAGGTATGTTAAAATGAGATTAATCTATGTAAACTACACTCGTATCTGTAAACTTAAAGTTCCATGGTGATTTCGACTATAAACATAATGACATAGTGTCGAGACAAACTATATAACGATAACCGATAACGGCGGCAGATTTCATATGTTAATTCGTTTTTCTGCTACTCGTATTTATTTAAAACTTGAGCTTTGTATAGAATATGTATGTTATGTAAATGATTGCAGGTATTTTCCAATGATGGTTTGCCAGAAAAGATATGCCTCAAATGCTGCACTACTTTGGAAAAGGCTTATTTACTTAAAACTGTGGCTGAAAGGTAAAGTTATAGTTAACAATAAGTGTCAACTTTAAGACTGTTTTGTAAATAATATTTTCGTAAATGATACAATATGTACTTAAAATTCACATTTCACAGGTTTATTTACAATTTTATCATTCAGGATCTTGTAAGAAAAGTCTTTTAAAAGCTGTAGGAATTGTTTGTTTTTTCACTTACTGACTTGGATTTACTTGCATGAATAAAAAATGAAAATATTTCTAATGTTATTTGATTATGCAAGAAATAACCTTTTATCTTACCCAAAAGGTAAGTTAATCAGGTCATACAAATGTCAAATCAGGTTCATACAAATGTATGAACAAAACAATATGAAAAAATGTGGCATGTATGATTGACAGTCACTTGCTATGTGTATGTTCCGTTAAATCATAGAATATAATTGTAATACAATTTGATTTTGAACCACACACACATATTTTAACATATACAGCTAAGTACATGGGTATGTATTTCAGCATGTTTAAATGAAAGAATAGAAGTAGTGATTGGATCAAAAGGTCCAATTATCTTCAGAAATGTCTTGAATACGACCCATTTTATTAAAATATGATACTTTGATACATATTTTTAGCATTATTTAATAATCCATGTAGTCCCTTATCATTAATGATTTGGATATAGCGATTATCTTCAAAAGCACTAAAACCTAAAGAAGGCTGTTAATGTGATGTAAGGCGTAGTACAGGACACGATTGTCCCATAACACTCCTTAGTTATTTTATCCGTAGACCAATTCTCATAATAAAAATTTGGTCAAAATTCAGTTTCAATCTACTCATGATCTTACAAATGTCATGGTATTTTTGTAGTAAAATTTCCAACATTGACTGTAATCTGATAAAGTATATCATATTGTGACCGAAAGTTGAATCAGTAATCTGCTAGTTTTTTTAAGACTTTACTATTTTACCATGAAAATACATTTTATGACATTTGTGAGATCAAAAATAGATCTGAACTGAATTTTGAATGAGAATTGACCCTCAGATTTAGATTGTATTTTTTTTCAATTTACCATGTACATCATAAACATAAGAAAAATTACAATGGGTATAGATATTGTCCCCAGAGAGTAAGATTTAACTAAGTATAGTGTTATACAGCAACATTTATCAGCATTTTTTAGCTTTTCTCTTAAACAAGATCTTTTTAGGGTTCCATAGCCAAATGGCAAAAAACTGAACCCTTATAGATTCGTCATGTCTGTCTGTCTGTCCGTCCGTATGTCCCAGCCACTTTTTGCCGAAACTATAAGAACTATACTATTGAAACTTGGTAAATAGATGTATTCTGTAAACCGCATTAAGATTTTTACACAAAAATAGAAGAAAAAACAATAAATTTTGGGGTTCCCGCTACTTAGAACTAAACTCAAAAAATTTTTTTCATCAAACCCACACGTGTCATCTATGGATAGGTCTTCAAAAACGATATTGAGGTTTCAAAATCATTTTTTTCTTAACTGAATAGTTTGCGCTAGAGACACTTCCAAAGTGGAAAAATGTGTCCCCCCTGTAACTTCTAAAATAAGAGAATGATAAAACTAAAAAAATATAAGTATAATATAAGTTTTATTTTTATTTTATGTAAATAGTTTTTTTAATACGTCATAAATCGTAAACCGCAATTTACCTTTCATTCAATCAATTCAAATATAAAAAAAAACATTAAAGTTCATAAACATAAACCTTATGCATAAACCGTGAACAATTATTTTCTAATAATAAATCGGTAATAGGTGCCTAAGTAAATAATAATTATAATTCGCGCGTAAATAAGTAGTTTACGAGTAAATTGCCTAAGTAACGCGGTAGCGGGTGCGGAACCCTTCATGGGCGATTCCGACTCGCATTTGGCCGCTTTTTTTAATGGTCTTGAGTTTTTTATTTTTTGGATATTTGGTTATATCAAGTCATTTTGCACTAATTCAGTGCCTGGTAGCTTTTGTGTGAAACAGAAGAATTTGAACCATCTTCCAAAATCTCTTTCCAACACCTATTTAGTTAACATCACTTCATTAAACTTGTTTGTTACAGTAGTAGATTTTATAATTTCAGAGTAACACTCGTAAAATATCTCTAACAGTGCTCACAGTCACAAAGTCATTTTTACATTGATTTAAATGCTGTACTGAAAAACTTACCATATTAAACTATACTGTTTAATTTTTAGATTTTTACTTTCTAACATAAAACAAACATAATATTTAAGAAATAAATTATTATGAAAACCTTTTTTATCTAGGTCGGATAAGAAGCTCAGAAAAATATTAGCAAAAGAAAAAGAGAACATACCTACAAAGAAAATTGCATTTGATTCTTTCACTGACATCAAAAGTGAGATTGGTCCTTTGAATGTGAAATCTGAACCATCATGGGAAATGGATATTGAAGTGCCGGAGGGATCCAAACCAGTGGAGACTATGGATGGTAAAGATATTGTTATTGCAAACACAATAATAAGAAAAGTTGATCCTAATGCTGAGGAAGAACCCAAAGTTAATGATTCAGAAGAGGTGCAATTGACTTGGAGATCAACAAAGACTGATGATGTAAAAAATGATCTAGAGGTAAGTAAAAACAATAGTAATGATACTACTTGTACGTCATTTAATGGTTGTACTGATCCGAGGGCATCTCTAGCTTTCTAGATTACCTTCGTAAAGATTTATTTGTTTATGAAGTACACTATGGAAGATTTACAACTATAAAAACTAGAGTATTAGCAGACAAGAATGTTATTAAGAGTGAAATATATACAAACAATTTATTTACTACACGGAGCTCTTTTAATAAATCATATACAGTACCTGGATGACCAAGCTCGAAAATGAAACCTAGCTAGATCGATTTATTGCCCCCGTACCCCGAAATTTTATAAATCTATTTCCGAAATTCAGATTATATATATCATCACATCAACAACCTTTAATAGTCCACTGCTGGACATAGACCTCGAGGTTTATATATAAGTCGACCTAAATACTTTATGGGGTTGTAGTTGCCATCATCTCTGATAGATTTCACTATGAAATACTATATCCCAAACCCAACCATTTTAATAAAAAAATGCTTACCTTCTTTATTAAATAGTTTGCCTGAAGAAGACATCCGCCTCGAGCCAAATAATATCAAATTTAGAAGTAACTAAAGGTATATTTGTTAAGCACACTCTCATAATGGCACTAATGCTTATTCAGCACTAGTGAATTGATATAGTATAACAAATACGCTTTGTTACTTATTAGTTCTGTGTTTATGAAAATGCGACTTTGCTGCAGTCAGACTGTCAGAACAGTTTTGCAGGGTTTTTGTTATTGAAAAATGTACCTATTTTGTTAATATATAAATATAAATTATATGTATATAAATAAATAAAATACATATAAATATACATATATATATATATACACACACATATATACAAGGATTGCTCGTTTAAAGGTATTAGATTAGATAGATGTATTTTAAAACTTAGTTAATGTGAATTTTCTAATTTTAGGTTGAATATTTAGATGACGACGTATTTCAAGATGATGATGATGATGACTATGTCCCTCCAGTGGAGAAGCCAAAAACTAAGTTCAAAAAACCTAAACTGTCAGATATTAAAGTTTTTAAAGGAAAAGCTCTTGTCAGAAAAGTAAAAGTTGTTAAAAAACTCAAAGATGACTATTCTGTTGATTCCGGTAGATCTAGAGATGAAAATAAATCAAAATCTACAACTATAACTTGCTGTAAGTAAAATTATAATATTATATATTAATATTAGTTAGTTAATCTAAAAAGTAATGAGTAAAGAATCTGAATAAATAACCATTTAACACTTTCTTAAAGGCATATTTTTTTTTTTAGATCCAATTCTGAAGAATGGCTCGCGAGGCGCACCAATATTATTAAAAAGACCAAAGGATGCTACACTATTAAAAGTTCACTCTGGGTATAAATCAAAAATGTCTAGTTCATCTGATCCCAATAAAACAGGACGTCGAGATAAACCTGTCAGAATTGTCAGATCAGCAGGGTCGAAACAAAGAGAAAAGCTTGTATGTCCAGTATGTGGTATACTCACTTATACTCTTGGAAACCACATAGCAACTCATCAAGGTGTTTAACTTATGTACCACTTATTGGTTTTTCAGTAAGAATTATATTTATTTATTTGTCAAACATGGCCATAGAAGACCAATGCCTAAACGTTTTAGTTTTTAGTTTCATTTTTATTTCTAAAGCATCCACCTAAAAAATTCTTTTCATTCTTACAAACATATTAAACTTACACTATTAATTTTTATTTTTATACAGAGAAAAAGAGGTATACCTGCGCTCAGTGCCCGAGGTCTTTTGCACAGAAAAGTAATTTGTTAGTACATGCTAAACAACACACTGGAATTAAAGACCACATTTGTGAAATATGTGGTGCTGGGTTTTACAGCCAGAAATCCTTGGTTAGGTAAGTAAGAAATGATAGTGTAACTAAATCGATGCATATTTTGCTACGAAGTTCCTTATGGGACGCTGTGGACGGAGGGATTTCACGAGAAACAGCGTTTGTTGCTGTTTCTTTCGGTCTGCATTCACTGCCTGCAGGGCGAGAGATAGAAATCCGTCCATCCGTCTACTTGCATTGCGCATTTTTTATTTAACAACACGAGAACAACGCATCGGAGATCGAGATCGAGAGATGCGTATGATTTTTAGAGAATTTGATGAGGAATAAAATAAAGTGTTGTTTCTCTACAATCAAAGGTTTTCTAGCTATTTTTGCTGCTTTATTTAGTTGCTGTAGTTCATTAGTAAATTGTAACTTTTTTTGGTTTAAATGTAAAAAAATATGTACGCTATTTTTTTTTATCTTGACCAAATTATAAATGAAAATATGTCAAATAGCACAGGGAACTTCGTGCCTATCGGGTGTCCGACGACACCACGGCTTTTTGAAACTTAAAATTGATTTATTTAATCATGTTTCAGACACAATTTAATTCACAAAGGAGAGAGACCATTTTCATGCAATCTTTGTACTAAGAGATTTATTGCCGTGAGTATTTCTTAAATATATGGTAGGTACTTGATAAAAACAAATAATCTTACATACTTTTTACCACTGCACCGAAAACGCGTATTATAGATTTATTAAAAGTAATGAATTACATCGTATGTAACCTCCTCATACGTGCTATTGTAAAAGTCAATAAAAAAATATGTGCAATTGATGTATTTCAGCGTTGTGATCTGAATCGGCACCTGCGCATACATTCGGGTTACAAACCGTTCAAATGTAACACTTGCACAATGTCCTTCAACGCGAAACATCAGTTGCAAAACCACGAGCGAATGCACACCGGGGAGCGGCCATACACATGCCAGGTGCGTTTTTAACCTTTCAAAATATTTCTTATTACTTTCCAGATGGCTGGACTGCGCCGCCATATGGCAATACACACAGGCAACAAAAGATTCAACTGTGAATTCTGCTGTAAAAAGTTCACACAAAGCCATCATCTGCAGAACCATATGTTAACCCACACTGGTGCTAGGCCGTATACTTGCGAGGTCAGTAGGCTCACTTGGTGATTATGGGCATTATATTATAATCTTTCTTATTATTTTGTGACACTCCCGTCCACCTCTTCTGGAAGGCTTATAATATCTCCTTCATTAATAACTACCATACACAGTACAAGCCTACAGTATGTCCCTTTGAAAAATGAGAATGGCTAAAAAACAATGTTTTTAAAAATCGTAAACACAACACAAACTCTTACTACAGAGTATTTTATTTGTATTTGTAATGTCTTTTTTTTTTCTAAAAACAAGTGTCTATTTTAAAACTATTTTATTTAATTCTAGGTATGCAATGTCGCATTCAGCTACAAAGTGAACCTTAATAACCATGTTTACAAAGTTCATGGCATCAACTTAAAGTTTAAATCTATTCATACTGTCACCGAGGAAGTATTACGGCGAGAGATGGGCATGGCCAATGAAACAAGGGTTGCGATATCACATATTATACCGCAAATGGGAGAAGTTCCAACGCCGGCCGCCCATGAAACTGTACTATCATTATCGTGATCATAACGCAATGAAAACACAAATCATTAAACGCAAACGGTAAATATGAAGAGTATAATGAATTACAAGTACACAACAACAGCCAATGCTAGTATTGAAATTTGTCTCAAATTTCTTTCAACTACCAAAATTGTAAACTAATGTATAAACTAATGCATTAATACTTTTTAAATATGTCTAACATGGATAATTTACTTATAATATCTACTACTACTGTTTTAATTCAAATTTATAGCCTGTTCAGATCAATCAGTAATGGTCGGCAGACATCAGGCGGGGTGGAGGGGCGTGAATGGGTTGCAATTCATTAGTGGATTTAGATGCCACACAGCGTCGTCGCGCTCTGAAGGTTAACTCTCGTAATAAAAGTTCTGTCTCAATTCAGTTCCGATCAACTTTCCATCTAACAACTGTCATAAAAGATTTTTTTGTATTACTAAGACTACCAGATTACCGATTCCATTTTCGGTTACAATGCGATATAATCACATTACAGTCAACATTGGATGTTTAATACTTTACACAGTTGTGAGATCGAAAGTTTATCGGAGCTGAATTGAGACCGAACTTTTATTACAAGAATAGGCCTTCTGTACTAGTATAAAATACTAGTGTAATATATTTCACTAGCTCATGTCCGTTGCCGTCTTGCCCGCCTCGCTTTCTGCCTTGACCCTAATGTTAGGCCTAGATTAGTTCTGGTTTTTGGAAAGAATAAAATACAATCACGTCTGATCTCATTCGTATGCATGGTTATACTAAACAAAAAGGTTTGTACCTAAGTCAAAAAGTCATGTAGGTATGAAACGATTTAATGTTCATTTTTTTGGTAACATGTTTTAAAATGCCTTCCGCTTATGTTGTTATTGCTATTAATCTCCGCGGGCCAAGTGTACATACACATTCTAAAATTGACTCTGTATTTGAAACAATTTTGTTACATGATATTTTTAATTTCATGATTTCACATAAATAGAGCTTAAAAAGTTTAACTAGAAAACATATCTTCCCATTAATCCGCGCCCGTTTGTCTATGTACCGGTTTGAGAATACTTATTTTTTTTATTTATGCTGTTTCTGAAGAAAAATACTATAAAGACAAAGAGTCCAAACTATCTATACGAGTTAATACGCTACATATATATCTGAAACGTTCATATTTCGGCAGTTTAGTAAATAGTGATGCCACAAATATCAAAAATTTCACTAACGATGGCTTTATTTGTAAAACAGTATAGTTATCTACAGGGTTGGTCGATAATGTTTCGATATCTTAATTATTTATCTGAGATACAAACAAGCAATAGCGACAGGCATAAGTGGAGCGACTTACAGGTTTTAAAATATGGATAAAGTCGATCCCATCGAAAGTCCTATCGATATTACCACTTTTGCCGTGTCTCGTTAAGACAAAATCAATAGTCTATTGTCAAAAAGTGTAACCATTTAAAATGACATTAGGAAACTGTAAATAAATAGACAAACTTTTCAATTTATGGAACCTGTTAGGTCTTGTGATGGTAAGTTTATATAATTGTTTGAGTATAATATTATACTTTTATTATGACTATTCATTACAATGAATGCGAGGTGTATAGTTTGGTTGGTTTTTACGTATGTAAAGTCTAGGTTTATATTGTTATTACTTAATTAAAAATAGTTTTGACATACCTACTTCTGTTTTCATTATATTAATATTTAAATCTACTAAACACACAGTGCTGTCACTTTATCTCAAGAATCATCTATAATATCAGTTAGGAATAAGAAAAAAGTATCAATACCTTAGGGTATCGATACTTTTGTTTCGATACCAAGTACTTTTGGAATCGATACTTTTGAGGTATCGATATTTTCTAAAAGTATCAATACCCCATTTCTAATAAATTATTAGCCTAAGAAAAATAAAAATGTTTGGTGTGGTTTTCGGATCGACATGCGATAGATGGACCTTTACGGGTTGAATAATCTGTGTAGTGTTTTTTGTCTTTAAAACTATTTCACTTATTCAGTTTTATGGAAATTGCAGCCCTTAATGTTATTATTACAATATTTGCACAGCATCTTTCAGTTCCTTAGTTATAGGAAAGTACTTCTCTGACATATTCCTGAAATAACAAGTAGCAACACTAAGTCACCAAAATATGTGAGTTGTAGAGAAGTACGATCGTACGATATTATTTTTTCGTTTTCATCTCGTCTTACTAGAAATAAAAACGTATAACATATAGTATATTATATTAAATCAATCTCAACAAGATGCCGCCGCCAGAAGAAACCGGAACGGGGAATGTTTTTTTTTGCCAAACTTAGCAGCACAAACAACACTCCATTCGGGTTTTTAATAAATATTAGTCTTTACCTATGAAATTGCCGTTTTGTATGCAATAAGTGAAAGTACTTATTTTTTCAAACTTTTTTATTTCTGTTATTCGAAGTAATCACCCATGCAATCGACGCATCTTTGCCAACGCATTGGCAGTTTATTGATGCCCTTGTAAAAAACAGCTGGACGGGAGGCAACAAACTTCAAAGGCATTTTGTACTGCCTCTCGGGAATTGAATTTTTACCCACTAAAAAGTTGTCTAAATTTTAGAAAAAGTAACAGTCGGTAGGTGCAAGGTCATACCTTCAGGTATCGATACTTTTCCATCTTTTTTACGATCAATGAATAAACTACTATACTACTACTTTTCTACTCTCATATCTATTTGTTATATTCTTGTTACCTGGAGTTGGTTACAGCGGTCAGATTTTAAGCAAAATTATGGTTTTGGAGCAAACTATTTGGCGTAGCCTGGGGGAAATTGAACCAGTTGTGTGGTAGAAAGGTATATTGAATTTTAAAAATTAAATTAAGTGACATTGAGAATTCTGACAGGACCATGTACATCTGCAGCCACAGAACGCATATTTGGCGCTCAAGTACGCGCTACGAGTACATAATGTAAAACATAATCGTCCTCCTGCAGAAAGAGCTGCTAAAATAACGTTTATCGTTATCATTATAATTGGAATAGATTAGGTAAAAACATATTAAATGAATGCATAACCACCGATGAACAGGTCAGTGAGACAACTCCTCAGGGAAGTTCACCGGTCAGAATTTACGTTAATGAAGGCGAGGTTGCCGCATCATCTCAATGTATAACAACAACACGAGAAAATGAATTAGAATTCGTCGTTTGTGACAATTTTGAGAGTGAGTGATTTACATATTGCATATCCTTATTTTGTATCTAAAAATAAAAATAATTTGTATGTTCTTATTTGTTGTGTTTAATATTCGTTCGAACAGGATTTTGATAATAAATTGATCGCAACAGGTGAGATAATTCCAACAAAAAGAACTCTTGCTTAAGGGAGACAACGTTATACGCCGATGATACTGCTCTATTCTACTTTGGCCATTCTATAGACTCCGTAGAACAAACGAACAAAAGACGCACAAAAAGACTTAGATCTTCTGAATATCTGGTTTCAATGCAATCGGCTGACTATTAATATATCAAAAACAAACTACATAATATTTACAGCAAAAAACAAGAAAATATCACATTACACACGCTTGAAGTTAAATAACCAAATTTAAACAAAGGAACATGGAAACCATATATTTCTAATATTAAAACCAAATTAACTTCTCTTTCTGGAGCCCTACGGGGCACGGTTACATGTTTACCGCTACCGCAAAGAATTCGATATAATATAAATAACACTTATAAAACCGCATTTAGAATACTTTACTGAAATTTGGGGCACCGCTGCAGAAACAAATCTGGAATCACTACAAAGGTCATAAAATAAATAAATTAAAACATTGTTTAAATACGATTTCCTCACACCAACGAATATATAATATAAAGAAAAAAAATATTAAATACAACAAACATACATATAAAAACTAGTACATTAATAAGAAAAATAGTAAATAAAGCCAAAAATTAAGAGCAAAAAGCCAACATCACGTAGTATTCCCAGGCGGTCACCCATCCAAGTACTAACCACGCCCGATGTTGCTTAACTTCGGTGATCGGACGAGAACCGGTGTATTCAACATGGTATGGACGTTGGCGAACGTTAAAGCAAATTGAATGTATGGTATCCACAGTTAGACGTCAATTTATATTAAAAGTGTCGTGACCAATTTTCGTAGTCACAATATGACATGTCAAACATGTCATATTGTGACTTTTATTAAACAGCCTAATCTATATATAGATTATATCTATATATGGATAATATATAGATAATACACCCGGCCATCGGCCCAACCACAGTCCAGCCACTGCCCTTCAACCAACTTCGATCTTGGCCTAGATAGCTAACTCCTGAAGCGCACAACCGAAGGTTGAAATACTTATCCGACTGCAGACAGTCCATACTGGGCTAACTGAAGTCTCACCACGACTTACTTGCAGACTGATCAGTCTTAGCAGACTAGAAATGCGAATAGTTGCAGGAACCATAACAGGACACCTAGCCCCGAACCGACAACTATTCATCATCAATGCGATGGACATCCCTCTTTGCATAGGACGCCTGAAAGCTGAAGAAACGGCCGGCCACGTAATCCTGGAATGCGAGGGAGTGGCCACACAACAGGCAAGTACCATACCTGGTACAAAAACGCTCCTAGAAGCCTGTGAACGTCCCAGGAGGCTTCTGCGCTTCTGAAAGGAGCTTTCTTGGCTTACCTAGCCAACCTCTCCTAGACGCATAAAATACCACTCTAGAGTCTAAATGCGAAAATCGGAATCCACAACCAATACCAATAGAGATAATACAGATATAAGGGCAAAGGCATTGCATTGCCTGTAAGTGGAATAGCTACGTCGGTAGGAAGAGAAAGACGACGGCGACCACTTCGTGCCAACAAATCAGCGAAGAGGTGCGGGTTCTTTATACCAATGTCCCCGGATCGTGGCTCGCTTCTCTCCTGTATCTGTATATATTATCTCTATGACATAATCGAGACAATTCTACAATTTTGTCCCTTTTTGACATATATGACGAAATGTCAGCTTTATATGACAGGGCCCTGCTTCTTTGAATGCTTGTACCAATTACGTCGGGGTCACCACTACGGAGGAACAGGTGTCATGTCAATGTACCTCCAACACAAAGGGTCTTCGACCAGGCGAGGTGATCGTTAATCGTTGATGGTTGATTTTGGGAAGTTTTATATATGCTAATCAGCGAGAGAATTCGCGATACAGAATTAGCAGTTGCTCCGTAGTTCAGTGTGTCTTTGTTAGATGGTGCTACTGTAGTTTCTTCGTTTCACCGTATGTGGAAGTTGCCACAATACTATCGATAGTGAAATTTAAACGATACTATTGAACTATAACAATACTATTATTTCTATCGATAATATCGACGTACTATACTATCAATTGTATCGCGTCAAAAAAGTCGATACTATCTATGGTCTATCGACACGTTTCTATAGTATCGATAGTATTGCTTTAGTAACTATCGACTTATTTTCGATATTATCGACTGGAAATAAAACGACGCTATGCAGTGGCGGATTTCCAGTCTTGGCCGTCCTAGACCCCAGGCCATGTATTAAGTACCAGTCGTCCCTTTCGCGGCACTCATCATATAGACTACATAATGATTTTAACCAGTTTCAGTGATAATCGCACGTTTAGATAAAATTTTAATGTTGTCATAAGATTGCCCTCGGCAGACGACGGCTGGACGTCGCTTAGCGTTCGATGGAGCGTACATTTCTGGATGTTTCTCTAGCCGATAAAATTCGTAACGAAGTTATCCAAGAGAGAACTAGAGTAAATGAAATCGCACAGAGAATCAGTGCTGAAATGCTCTGGAAACAGCGGGAATGGCTTTATTCTGTTATCATGCTGATTCCAGAGCGCTTCCAGAGTGTGTTTGTTAGATAATTGCCCATCACGTTTCCAGACTTTAATCAAAGTTCATATAACCTGATACCAAAATGTATCGAAAGTGGATGTATGTTGAAACCATGGTGAATAGATTTAGAAAACAGAGTGTATTTCGAGTGATTACATATTGAAACCATAATGTATTCATAATGAAACCAGAGTAAAACTATAGTGAATACATGTTGACATTCTGGAACCAGCATGATTACAAAAAGTTTTCGCACTATTTATGTAGTGTTTCCCGAACGAATTTAAGGTCCCGAGGGTTATATAAAATATTTATATATTATATCTAAGGCGATGTGGTGCAGTGCGGCCCACCATAATGTGCATTATCCTTTGGATTACTTAAGTTCTTTGAGTTATTTCTTGTCATCAGTGATTTTTATGTCACGATCATCCTACTGGGCCTTAAGGGAAATCCGCCACTGATGCTATGCATGACAACGAATCACAACCATTATTTATCGAAGACTAAGTTATGTGAAATGCATTGATCTATATTACCTTTTATGAGCAAGCAATAGTATAGTTAAATGTTCAACTACCGGTAGAGCAAAGCCGCATTGTTCGCTGAAGCGGTTTTCAAGCAAAGGCCGCTACAAAGGTGGTTGCACCGAAAGTCGGGCCACCGACTAAGGCGGTTACAAATGTTCCTTCGGAATTCCCTCCGTTCCCCATTCCGACATCTTTACCTGGACCTTTTATTTTACACGCTGAAGTGGTGGGCTGGTCACATCTATTGGAGGAGTGATGACCGTTGGAGCAAGATATCGATTACCGGAAGGTAGACACCACTCAGTTAAATGTGCTGAGGTCCTGAGATAGTTAGGGATAGATTAGATGCGCAAAGCGGCAGACCAGAGGTGAAAGTTACTATATAAAAAATACTAAGACACTCCTATTAAGGCCTTAGAATATTTATTGCAGATATTAGTCATTCAACCAATGGGCTGTAAATATAGTGAAACTAAAAAATAACACAATGTATTCGATAAGTACATCATTTAATGTTTTAAATGTGCTTAAAATATGACTTGATATGGCAACACGAAGTCCTTACAATTTTTTTTTTGTCTGAGCATCGTTCTTCAATACGGCCGTCACTGTAATTCTAGTTCTCTATGACGTAATTTCTAGTACAATCGCAACCAACAGTTATATTACGTTTTTCAGAAATCCATTTAAATTTCCATTCATTAGGTAAATTATTTGGATATTCCAATAAATAATCGGCGTGCGCCTCTCGTCTCCTTATTATTGTCAACTAAAAAATGAACAAAAAATATTATTAACACTAGATTTTGACCAATCACTGTAGTGAGTATGCTATCTGCTAATCTAGGTCATATCTACATAAATGAGTGCCAAATTTAACCTAAAATCCGTTTAGTATTTTTTTGGGAACAGAGTACTATCTGTATATCCATCTATTTTCGATTATATAATATTTTTAATATCAGGTATATTACAAAAATATTAAGTTTGCATTAGTTGAAGTAACGAAAAGTGTACGTAATAAAATTTACTAACATATCAGAATGCAACCTCAAGTGACAATGCTAACCAAACGATCTCTCTGGAAAAATCAACTGAATAAGGTGTGCATCCTACGATACGGTCATCGCAAAAGTTGCTAGAATACCATCCCGTACTACATTTATGGAAAAATACTTTACCTCATATAGGTTTTCCTTGCAAATGTATGGGGGACGGCAGAACTGTTGCACTTCGCTGCAATTTCTAGTTTCTACATATCGCGGGTAAGAATTCGCTCCAAAGTCCTCTGTTTCTCTCTGAAATGTTATAAAGATGTTGTTTATTATAATGATTCACAATAAAAAAACTGCCTATTTATTATACTTAAATAAGCATAACTGTTAAGATAACTTACATGAACTTCACAGTTGCAAGGTGGATCGGGTATAACTTGCTGCAAAAAACGAAAAATGATAGATTAATACATTGTAAGTACCTATTATATTTTACGATTGGAGATTTTTTAACTAAACACAAAACAAACTAAAATAAATATTGATCACTCTTTAAGTTTGATTCGTGAAGTTTGAGTCTTCTATCTAGAGTTAATTTGTATTAAGAATACAGAATGTAAACAGCCTCTAACAGTTCACTGCAGGACATAGGTCTTTCCTTGGAAAGGAGGTTTTGGCCCACTATACAATGTTGGCCAGGCGGGTTGGTTTAGGCTTTCTTTCAAGTTTTCGTTCGCTTTGCAGTGCTGTTGTTCACACTCTTCTTTACCAAAAATGAACAAACTACTTACATTTAGTTTCTTCATTTTAATATTACCCCTTTTGCGAGTCCTTGTTTCTACGGAATCATCTAGTAAAATAACATCGTCTCGTATCATATTTGCATGGTCAGCGATAAATGCTGACAGATCTTCAGGAGTTGTGTCAGATTGAAAAGTCACGCTGTCGTAATCAGTGCCCAAGTTGTTAACATTTCTTAAACGTTTGTTGTCTCGATTCATTCTGAATACATAGTTTTTTCTTTTGGCCATCCTTTGATCATCCAGTAAAAATTCATTAAACCTCGAAGGATTTTTTTGTGCCATTACTTTAGGTAATAGCGATTGAAGTAAAATAAAAAATCCGAAACATATTATCACTAAGACAAGAGGCCGAGTTATCTGGAAATAAACAATGTGTGAAACCAAATAATGAGTGAAAAAGTTTCTAGTCTAGGAATCATTAAAATTTTAATAAGCTTAATTAATATCGATTTTCCAATTTAATAAAAAAATTAGAAAACCTGTGTAAAAGTGTTTCGACAAAGGACTTTTATATACAAAAATGGTAGTTGTTAAATAATAGTAAGAATATTTTTTTAAATTTCAAAGTTACGAAATTAACCCTGAAAGCACTTGTAGTGCAAAATTATCTTTTCTCAATGCAAACTTCACATCGCTACAGAATAGAACTATCAATACAATCAATACTAAAGCTATCAATAATAAAAAAAAACGATTGGAATTATACGAATTCTTGGTAATGTTTTCTTTAACTGATTACCAGAAATCCTCGTGGAGGAATGGAAGTAGCGACTTGGGCAACCAAGCGCTGGGCACGCCGTTATTGCGGCGGTAAGATCCGTTATGAAGGATTAGCTAGAGAGGCATCACGGGACCCTCTCATACCGGCTGTCGCTGGTAATCACCGGGAAAGGATGCTTCGGATATAACCTGTGTCTGATCCGCAAGGAGCCAACGCCTGAGGACTGCGATTGCCGGACCGTGGACACGGTGCTCCACACGCTGGCAAAATGCACAGCGTGGGTGGAGCAGAGTGGTTGTCTTTTGTTGCACATATTGTCAAAACATTGCGTAACATAAAAAAAATACATACTAGAAAAAAAAGGTGAGAAGTAAAAATGAAAATTGTAGGTTTAAAATGATCACAGGAGTTTTCTCTTACCATGACGAAACCGATTTCTTGAGTTATCACAAAAGACTGATGGAAGGTGGAAAGTTTTTCCACCCTTATATAGTACAAATTGATTGATAGGCTTACAAAAGGATCCATTAGATAGAACAAAGCCTCGTATTGTGTACAGGCACATGTATCCGATATATAAGATTACTCTTTCTTGTCACAATACACCCTCAATACACCAATAGCTGTAATCCCCTATTCACCTGTAGGGTCGCCAAGGAAACAACATATCGTAGGCGTATTGTGGCACAAGATAATACTTAGTATTTTTATTTTTAGAAATTGTGTTTTGATAGATACAATACTTTACTAACGATGCTAACAAATTGGTACGGAAGGGAAACTGTTCTAGGGTTTACAGAATAAGTGGCGACTTTGCAGTTTTGGCTGTCCTAGGCCTCAGGCCATCAGCCGCCCCTTTCGCAGCACGCATCATATAGACTACAAAATGAATTTATTTACTTACTAGCTGACCTGCGCAACTTCGTCTGCGTCTCTCAATAGTAATAAATTTTCTCCGTTTTTGAAACATTCTTCATTGGTGCTCCGCTCCTATTGGTCTTAGCGTGATTATATATAGCCTATAGCCTTCCTCGATAAATGGGCTATCTAACACTGAAATAATTTTTCAAATCGGACCAGTAGTTCCTGAGATTAGCGCGTTCAAACAAACAAACTCTTTATAATCACAACATTATACCTACCCACAATCAAAAGATATCCGCGTTCATACCATATTACTTAATATCAAAGTATGTTATATTTAATTTTATATTGTCACTATTCCAAAATAGTTCACTCAATGCTGTTAAAGTGAGTTCACAAATTAATTGCTTACAATTTTATTTATTCTCCATGTTTACAAATACCACATTCTTAATTCACCTTTATTTTAATATACCGACATACCGAGTTATGATACACTTAAAATATTAAACTTGTAACTATGTTCGATAAAAATAAACTTTTAAATGAGATTGATAATATGAAACTAACTAATTCCATAGAATTGGAAAATCCTGATATTTGTAAACAACAGCTTGGTGATATTTCGAAACAATTCACTATTTTCTCGCAAAACATACGAAGTATAAATAAAAATTTTAATTTTTTAATCGTACTTTTGCATCGTCTACGTTTTCAGCCAGATGTTATTGTGTTAACTGAGTGTTGGCTGGACGAAGCATTTAATAGATTACACTTAGACAGTTATAAATGTTCTTACTGGACAAAATATTTAAATAAATGTGACGGCATAGTGATATTCACTAAGTCGGATTTACAAATACGCGTGTCGGAACCAGACTTTAGTGATGCCAACTGTCTACGATTAGATATTGCTACTCATACTGTAATAGCGATTTATCGATCGCCATCTTTTCAAAACATAAACAATTTTTTAATTTCTTTGGAAAAAATTATAAAAAAATGTAAAAGTCAACACTGCATCTTGGTAGGTGATATCAATATTGATACAAAAGAAAATTCCACAGATAACCGAGCAGAAGAGTATCTAAGCTTGATGGCTCACTATGGTTATGTACCGGGACATATCATACCTACACGAGGACAAAATTGCCTAGACCACTGTTTTATCAAGTCCTCTCAGCCGTCTACGACTATTGTCTGTCATTCCAATATTACAGATCATAGTAGCGTACTTTGTAGCCTTGGCTCAAATGTCAACAAAGAAAAATCTAAAATAACCTTTACTAAAATCAACTATGAAATCTTACATGAGGACTTAAAGCATTTTGACTGGTCGGAACTTTATGACATAACCGATGTCACGGAAGCGACACGATATTTTATCTCTAAAATGAACAGCCTTATTGAAAAAAATAAATCTACTCAGCACTTTCGCAGCTCCAATATTATTGTAAAGAAATGGATTACGCCAGGTCTTTTAAAATCAATTAGAATTCGTGACAAATTACACATTATTGCCAAGAAAAATCCCAACAATCATGAATTACAAAATAAATATAAAACCTACAGAAATATTTGTATTAACTTATTACATGAACAAAAAAATAAATATGAACACAACCTCCTAGAGGAAAATAAATATAACCTAAAAAAGACATGGAGTTCTCTAAAAATGATCTGTAATCTAAACAAATGTAAAAATACAAATGATCAACTATTAAAATTAGAAGACGATGCCATAAATTCTATCAACACAGTAAACAATTATTTCAGTACAGTTGGGGTGCGTTTGGCCGAGACAATTTTGGATGAATTGAAAACAACGGAAACTAAATTAGGCAACAATACACGTCTTACCAATAATTCAAATCAATCAGCCCACTCACTGTTTTTACAACCTACAGATGTAATTGAAGTTACTAAAATCATAGATACGCTGAAATCCAGTCGGGCCACGGGACACGATAACATTAGCAATGATATGTTGAAGCTTAATAAACATGTGATCGCGATGCCCATAACTTATATATGTAATCTTAGTTTGTCATCGGGAATAGTGCCGAATAATTTAAAAATTGCAGAGGTAATACCTATCTTTAAAGCAGGTGATCCATTGGAACCGGCCAACTACAGGCCGATTTCACTATTAAGTACGGTGTCTAAGGTGATTGAAAAGGTAGTTAATATGAGGCTTCTTAAATATCTAGAGGCGAATAGCCTTTTGGCTCCTAACCAATATGGGTTTCGCTCCGCCAGGTCCACGGAAGATGCCGTCACGGGTCTTGTTGATTTTGTAACTGATAAAATTAACGATGGACAAAAATGTGTAGGTATTTTTCTGGACCTGGCGAAAGCATTTGATACTGTTTCGCGACCAATACTTCTGAAAAAATTAGAACTGCTGGGAGTTAGAGGACTAGCGTTACAGTGGTTTCAATCATACCTTAGCGAGCGAAGGCAGAGAGTACGAATAGGAGAATACGCAAGCGGTTATGCAGACATTGCTTACGGCGTCCCCCAAGTCAGTGTTTTGGGTCCCACTCTCTTTCTGACCTACATCAACGATCTCTGCTCCCTCAAACTGCCACAGGCTAATATTTTTACCTTTGCAGATGATACTGCCTTAATTTTCCATGCTAAGACATGGACAGAGGTTGTGGATGTGGCTCAGGAGGGCCTTAGATGTACAGCCAGTTGGCTAAAAAATAATTTACTTAATCTCAACGCAAGCAAAACAAAACTTATAGCTTTAAGCATAAGCAAAAGATCTGCTCCAAAGGAAGGTCTAAACGTAACACTACACACATGTGAGTCTGCTAAGCATTCATTGCAATGTCAATGCCCGACTATTGAACAAGTTTCGTGCACAAAATACTTAGGCGTAATGATCGATGAACACTTATCGTGGAAATCACATATCGATGCAGTAACGATACGTATAAGAAAACTATCTCACATATTTAAAAAAATAAGGTCTGTAGCGGAACCGCTGCTTATTCGAGCTGTATATTTCTGTCTCTGTCAATCTATTTTGGGTTACTGTATCACTGCTTGGGGAGCGTCAAAAAAAACCCACCTTCTTAAGCTCGAACGCAGCCAGCGAGCTATTTTAAAAATAGTATTTAAAAAACCCTGGCGTTATCCTACCAACACACTGTACTCAGAATATTACCTCCTTCGTGTGAGACAGCTTTATATTACCTCGATACTTCTTCGCTTTCATAGGGTTGCGAAGACCCTTGTGCGAACCTCACACAGAACTCTTAAGTGGGACACACCAAGGGCTCGTTCTGCTTTTGCTCGTCAATCTTTTACATTTATGGGACCCTATCTTTACAACAAATTTTTCAAAAGTAATAATACTGTAATAAACCTGACGTCATTCCGCCTTAAAACTACCATCCAAAAATGGTTAATACCTATGGACTATGCTGATATCGAAAATCTGCTAAATATTGTTATCTAATATTACGCGCGCACCATCTTACACCCACACCCTAACACACACACACACACACACACAAACACACACATGCACACACATACACACACACATACACACACACATACACACACACACACACTCACATACGCATACACACACACACACCCTATCTTATATCTTTATATGATATACATACATATTTAGTTTTTCTCTTAGCAACTGTACAACATACACAATAAATGCATTACTTTTTTTACTTTTTAATACTATCTGAAACTCACGGAAGGGACTGGACCCCACGACACAGGAAATCCTAGTGTGGGGGCCAGAGATATTTTGTTTTAGTACTTAAGTACTCATGTAATTGTGTAAGTGTAATAATATGTTGTGAACAAATTTTTGCATAAATAAAGATTATTATTATTATTATTATTATAATATTAGTATATATTTAAAACTTAATGCATGTGCATTAAGTTTGTTGTTGTACAAAGGAGAACTTAATAATTTAACATAATAATTTACTGGATTGCCAACTTTTATCAAAACTAGTATCACGGATAATTGCACATTTAAATAAAAAATTATAACAGATTGCCCTTGGCAGTTTAAAATGTCAATTCCCAATCTAGTTAAAGTTGAAGTAACAGCATTTGAGGTAACAGGTTTGCGGCCTGTGTTTGGAATACTGTCATTGGGCAACACATATCCAGGCCCGCTACTAGCTGTTTCGCTAGCCCCTGTGACTCCTGAGTTGCAATCGTTAATGGGCGGCGGTATCCCCATTCGGATACTTACTATAGGACTATATACTTTCTATAGGAAATACTTTCTACAGGAAATATACTTTCTATAGGATATATTTCTATGGATTTTTATTTCCGTCAAGTTCTTTTTATTTCTATGAATTTAGAAAACATATTATTTTATTTCGATACAATTATAAATATGATATACCGCGACACGTCCTGGCATGCCGCGTGATGCCGCAGCATGTCACGTCATGTTGTTTCATTCTACGGATTGCCATACCACCGTGTCCACAACGTTACAGGATTACCACCCTCCTCCCCCGGAATCAGGGGCAGGAGCGTTTGACCCCGGTAAACTG